ACCCGGCCATCGATAGACGTCGAACTTCAGCCCGACCACCGACAAACGCCAGACTTCTGGCCAGTAATCGACTGACGTTGGAATTCCACCTAACTCTCTCTACTGTTATAATTTCACCGTCTTTGAATTACAGGACGGATTAAAGCTTTGTAATTCATTCAAATACTAGTGGTATCATTTGAACTAAGTTTGGCCCTGTAATTTTTTCTCTTTTCTACGGATTCTACGTTAAAAAACCTTGATGTTTTTTTTTTCTTTTTTGCTTTTGTGGGAAAAATGAAAACACCTTCACACTCTACGCCGCTAATCGTTCTAGTCTTCGCAACTGTATAAATAATAATTATATTTAAATGAAATAGGAAAAGATGAAGATTGATCATATTAAAATACTCGAAGATTACTGTAAAAAAATAATAATAATGAATCTGAAGTGGCCTAGATTTAACGTATATAAAATTTTATAATGATAAAATCATCAAATTTTACATATGAATATAAATTAAATCTAATCGAAACTTTTTTGGCCATAAATTTATCGCAATTCAGACGAGCTTTATAAAGTTAATTTGATCCATAATCAATAATATTAGTTTTACTTCTAGCGCTCGTCTGACTATAAAATATTATGTAAATTTTTAAGAATATTTTTATATATAGAGAAGAACGTATTATGGGTAGGAGAGAGAGAAGAATCTTTGCATTAAATTAGAGAGATATAAAGAGGGTAGCTTAGTTAATTAAGTGGGTAAATAAGATAAATATATAGATAGATAATAATTCTAATTAGGATTATTATGGGTAAATTGTTGTTAAAATTAATTTTATATCTAATTATACAGATTAAACTATCAATTTTTAAAATGACATGCAATTTAATTAGTAGAAATTTTAGTTACTTCTTTAGGAGGTGTTCTAATTAAACCCTAAACAACCACATAATAGGAAGTGAATTAAAATAAGATAAAATAAAATGATGTGTTGCCTGTAGTTTGAATTTAAAAAGGCATTTTGCAAAAAAAAAAAATTAAGTTAGTTTAATTAGTGTAATTTTTTTGCGAATAAAATGGAAAACTTTGTTGTTTTAAATAATTAATTACAAATGATGTGCTAATTTCTTATTAATGAATAATAACAAATCTTTAATTACCAAATCAATTATTATTTTAATTAAGACTTTTGGTCTCTAATTTTGGAAGATTAATTAGGATAAAGGTCATGCTCATGATAATTAGGGAGTTATGAAAAGAAGGAATATATTCTTATTCTAATTTACTTGGTAAGAAGGATATCTGGACAAAAAGAGGCAGAATAAAAGAAAAAAAAGGACAAAAATGCCAATCTCATATTGATAAACCTTTATTATTTTTGTGTAAGATTATAAAATTTAGGCTTCATTTGGGACGGCTTTTTTAATGATTATTAAAACAGCTTTTTAGTATAAAAATTAAAATGTATGTAATAGAAAGTTATTTTAAGAAACAATAAAAAAATTGTCCCAGTGGGAAGTATTTCATATTGTTTTTTAAAACTATTTTTTAGTGCAAAAGTAAAAAAATTTGTACTTAAAAGCTATTTTAAGAAGCAATAAAAAAGTAGTACCAAACGACCCTAAGGGTTTGTTTGGGACAACTTTCTTATTGCTTCTTAAAACAACTTTATAGTACTAAAAAGATTATTCAAGAAGCAATAAGAAAGTCGTCCCAAACAAAACCTTAAAGAAAGTTTGGGATGACTTTCTTGCTGCTTCTTAAAGTAGCTTTCTGTGCAAATATTTAATTTTTTTTATTAAAAAGTTACTTTTAAAAGCAACAAAAAACCGTCCCAAATAAAGCCTTAGGCTTCGTTTGGAACGGCTTTCTTTCTGCTTCTTAAAACAACTTTTTAGTACAAAAGTTAATTTTTTAAACTAGAAAGCTGCTTTAAGAAGCAGTAAGAAGGCCGTTCCAAACGAAGCCTTAGGCTTCGTTTGTGACTACTTTTTTGCTGCTTCTTGAAGCAGTTTTTAAGTTCAATAATTAAAAATTTTGTACCAAAAAGTTGCTTTAAGAAGCAATAAAAAAGTCATCACAAACGAAACCTTAGTCTCATGATCAAACTTTGTTAGGCATTGGCAACCCATACTAAACAACTGGCTAAAAAATAAAAGTTGAGAAGTCTTCTATTAAATATGGAAACCGTGAACTTTATAGATTCCATGCGTTAAAACATTTATATTTCTATTTATTTAAACAATAATTAAAATTATTCCTTTTTTTTTTTTTTGGAAAGTTTGGGATTGAGATTTGAGAGGGTTAGGAAATCCGATTCCTTTTCGCCACCTGACGCGCCTTCCGTTGGTTTCCGTTAGCATGGGCTGACTCCGCACGTAAGACGTTCCATACTAATCTGGCCGCAAAAAATAATAAAATATTTTTATTTTTGTATTTATTTCTCCGCTCCAAAAATAAATTCATACTTAAAAATAATGAATCTAAATATATTTTTAAGAGTTGCATTAAATTTATCATATTTAAATTTAAAATATTTTAAAATAACGTTATATTTTTATTAATAATTATCAATTGGCTTAAGAAAAATTTTAACTTATACGCTGACTACTATAGGGCTGCGGGCTGCCAGAGAAAATATGTTATAGTTGTGAACTAAGAATTCTTTTTTGAAACAGTTTTTTTATTGTTTTTAAAATAATTTTTTAAGTATAAATTTTTTATATTTTACTAAATTATTTTTAAAAAATAATTAAGAAAGACGTTCCCAATAAAATGTAAAGCTTTATTTTAGATAATTTTTTACCCTTTTTTTTTAAAAAAAAATTAATATATATTTTTATATAAACATTTATTTAAATTAATAAAAAAAATGATTCAAATAAAAACCTTAATCAATTGATAAAGATTTGCGAGTAGTTAAGGCAAGAGAGAAGGGAAAAGTCTGGAGAAACAATTGGGCTGTAAAAAAAGAATAAAAGAAAAGTTAGCAGAAGTGGTAAGTTATATTTTTATTGTTTTAAAAAAAATTATATATTAGGCAAGTAAATATTAAATAAAAACTTGATATGGTAGATACATAAATATATATTTATTGAGTGTAAATCTCAAAGATCAGACCGCGTGCCCCGTGATTTATCGATCTCGCTCAGGTCCATCAAAAGGATCCGCTGAGCGGGACACCTCTCGAAACAGCCATTCATCATCCTTTACACCACAACTCAGGGAAACTGTTGGGGAATCGCGTTCCCATTCTTTTGGCTAGGGTTAGTTTCGAGGCCTATAAATAGATGCAGAAAATACTCACACGTTCGCAAGAAGCGATTGAGGGCTGTCACGGTTTCGAATACGTCTTAAGCGCCGATTGTTCGCGATCAGGCAAAGTTCTTTCGCCTTTCTCGCAGCATCTCGCGGATTTCCATTGAAGTGTCGTGAAGAAATTGGGATCTGAGGTTTCCGTCTCTTTTGCAGGGAAAGAACAAATTTTTTTTGGAATTCTTGTAAGTATTTTTTTTAATTTTCATAATAGGGTCCTCTTTCTCTCTGAACAATTTGTTGGGGATTCTTGTAAGTATGTTCTATTTTTCCTATTAGGGTTCCATTGGTTCTTGTTGTGTGTTTTTTTTTTTTTTAATTTACTGGTGTGTTTTATTGTTTTTGTTTTGATTGAGGCATCGACCTGTGTCGGTGTTGCGAGGTGATCTATTCTGTGTTATTCCCCCCAAAAAAAAAAATATGTTCTGTGTTGATCTGTGTCAGTTTTCTCGGAAGAATGAATATGATGATTACATTCTTTGTTACGGTATTTGGTTCTTTAGGGTTATTTGTTACGGTTTTCTGCCTTGTAGCGACAAGGTTTGACCTTTGATTGCGTGTGACCTTTTCTGACTAAATTTAACATGTTCATTTTAGCAGAAGATTGAAACTCATTTTTTCTGATGGTTAGGGGATCTTTTTTGTTTCAATTTAGCATTTTATTTTCTGGGAAAAATTAATGCTTGATTTTTTTAAATGATACGCATTCATATGAATCTGCTTTGTGGTTAGATTTGTCGTCGGCTACTTTCATTTCCGCCGCTAATTTTCATTTTTGTTTTTCTTAATCGATGATTTGTTGATCATTTCTATCATGTTTAAATTACTCCACCAAAAAATGACATTGTTTAAATCACTCTTTGAGAAAGGAGAAATATTTTAGGTATGCTATCGAGAAGTTTTGTTATTCTCATACATTTATCTGCGCCAATGAGACGGTTGATTTGTGAATAAATTAAGAGGAAAAAGATATTGTTTAAAAAAAATACGGTAAATATTTTTTGGACGACGATTATTGAAGAGGCAGTCGGGATAAGGCTACTAATGATGATTATTCTTTTTTGTTGAGGTTTTTTAGTTATGATTTTTGTTTTTCAGTTGGACTCTTCTGAATTTCCTTCAAGTATGATTTCATTATATTCTTAGTTCTTTTTTCTGTCTGGTTTTTAAAACGCTATCGAGATCCATGTTCTTCATTTTTTTCAGCCACGATTTGTTTTCTCGGTGTTCTGCAACTTTTATTTTTGTCTTTATGTATAGCTTGCGGATTGTTGATGACTTCTAGATTCTCAAATGCAAGTTCTTGTAAAGATATTTGGGCTGGTTGTACGAGATTTGGGATATTGATATGATCATTTTTTTGGGTGATTTTGCAAGTTTCTTGGTATTTAGCTGAATAATCTTAATATGCATTTCGATTTTGCAGGACGTTTGAATGTTTTAATGGAGTCAAAAGGTGGTAAGAAGAAGTCCAGTAGTAATTCCTTACAATACGAAGTTCCCCTCGGCTACAGCATTGAAGACGTTCGTCCTCACGGTGGAGTGAAGAAGTTCCAGTCTGCTGCATACTCCAACGTAATAAACTTTGAAATTTCGAATTTTCAATTTCCTTTCCGCACTTATTTTGTTTCTACATTTGTTCTAAACATTTTTTGTTATTTTTTTGGTATTCCTTTCAGTGCGCTCGGAAACCATCCTGATATCATTTGGATGCTCCCTCCAGTAGTGTAGGATTTCCCTTGCTTTTGCTTTGATACTTCTGGTTTGCAGCTCACCAATAAACCACACCGAACTCTTTCAACTTCTCCTCTGTTTTCTTACTCTCTCTTCTTGCATCCTCTGCCTGTCCATCAAACTGGACATGATGGCCTGCTCTCCAATTGGGTTCGAAGGCTATGAAAAACGCCTTGAGATAACCTTCTCAGAAGCCTCTCTGTTTGTTGATCCTCACGGCTATGGCCTGCGCGCCCTCACTCGCCCTCAGATTGATTCAATCTTAGAGCCTGCAAAGTGCACCATTGTTTCACAGCTTTCCAACAAGGACTTTGACTCCTATGTTCTGTCGGAATCTAGCCTCTTTGTGTACCCATGCAAGATGATTCTAAAAACCTGCGGGACTACAAGGCTCTTACTGTCGATTCCTGTGATTCTTGATCTTGCTGCTGAGCTTTCACTCTCTGTTACAGCAGTGAAGTACTCCAGAGGAAGCTTCATATTTCCTGGAGCTCAGCCTGCTCCTCACCGCAGCTTCTCTGAAGAGGTTGCTGTTCTTAACCAATACTTTGGTTGCCTTGCCTCTGGTGTGAATGCTTATGTTATTGGCAACCCTGCACTGCCGAACCTCAACTGGCATGTCTATTATGCTACCGAGAAGCCTGAGCAACCAATGGTGACAGTTGAAATGTGCATGACTGGATTGAACAGTGAAAGGGCATCCATATTCTTCAAGAATTCTGTCCTTGGACATGAATCATCTGCAAAAGAGATGACCAAAAGATCTGGAATTCGCGATATCATCCCTGAAATGAAAATATGTGACTTTGAGTTCGACCCCTGCGGGTACTCAATGAATGGCATCAACAACCAGGCCCTTTCTACCATACATGTTACACCTGAGGATGGGTTCAGTTATGCAAGCTATGAAGCTATGGGGTTTGAACCTAGTGCAATCAGTTATAGACATCTCATTGAGAGGGTGCTGAGGTGCTTTGAACCTGTGAATTTCTCTGTTGCCGTCACCATCTTTGGTGGACGCCCCTTTGCCTGTTCTTATGGTCAAAAGGTTTGTGTTGATGGGTACAATTGCAAGGATCTTGTTCAACAAGAACTCTCAGGTGGAGGACTGCTTTTGTATCAGAGTTTCAAGGCTTCTACTGATGGTTCAGCCTCTCCAAGATCCATTCTCTATTGCTGGGAGGCAGAGGATGAAGAGGAGAACAGTGTGAAGTGCAAGGAGAAGTTTTTCTGAGTTTATGGTGGTATATTGGTGAATGACTCGTTATTTTTGTGCTTCTGCTTTGTTATTTTGGTGTTTCTGTTGTTGTGTGGCTTACATTGTCTATTTTGTTACTGTTTGCATTTGAATAATTAGCTCAGTGTGGCAATTGGCTTGCCTTATTTGTCCACAAGGAGTAAAATAAGTCGTCTGTCTTTGCTTTTAATAAAAGCTTCGTTACATGTGTGTGTTTTTGCTTAATGATTTTGTTTAATGAGTTCTGAATTGCTTATGAATTGGTGCTTGGTAGCACACGTAAGTTCAGGTGCCAAATCACCATGGAAATATTTGATTGCCCTTCCCTCCCTCCCTTCCTCCCGAAATTATTATGTCGGGTGACCGGACCGTCTCATACGCACCATGTCACCCGGATGTTCTGGTCACCCCGGTGTTTTAAGATTTTTTTTTTGTTAAAAAATAGTATTATAAAATAGTAAGAAAGCGACTTTAAAATAAACATAAATCTATGTTTGAGTGTCAATAAAATTTTGATTTGTATCACACTAGAATTGAATATGCGTATTTACACATCAACTTGAATATATGCATTGGATCAGGACATATGCGCAAGATACAATAGATTGTCTGTAAGTATTTCTTATGATATGATAATTGGTGATTAAAACACCTTTATCTTTGATAAATCAGTTCATTGATTTACCATTGATGGATGGATTTATAGTGATTTTCTTAGATGAATTATTGGATTTGTTTTGGGAATTGAATATTGAATTGTAATTAAGAGTATTATTCATGATTAACTTATCAATTTATACTTATCAAATATGAATCTCGAGACAAATTTAAATGGGAAACTTAAAAAAAAGGAAACTTCTGAAATTAAATATGGAGTCATCCAAACTCAATTTTCAATAAACTTATAGTCGGATTGAACAACTCAAAGAGGAACACAAAGACACAAAATTTAATCCAATCCGAGCTCAAATGGGTCCAAATCAAGACCCCGAAGCACATTGAGAAGATTCAAAGTATAAATTGGATGATCAAATGATATTCAAATGTAACATGTTTATAGTTGAATCGTGCGGATCGACGAGACAAATCCAATGAGCTCAAGATCGTTGAATTCTGATATCATTAAGACACTCAAATGATCGATAAATGATATAATCGAGGGAATTTATATCGGTCGTCTATCAAAAAACACTCCAAATATGTCTTTAATATTCTCCATATTTACTAACCATTTCACTCCAAAAAACCATTTCACTCAAAAAAAAAAAACTATAAATAAACCCTTCATTTTCATTGCCATTGAAAATGGAGTAAGCAAGAGAAAGAAGAGCAGAGATGAAGAGAAATTAGAGAGCTCTCTTGCCATCAGACATCTCCTCCTCGACCAATGTTCGGCCACCAACCATCTTCGAACTTTCATCCGACAAATGATAGTCGCCAGACTTCCGTCTAACCACCGACCTCCGCCAAACTTTCGTCAGGCCATTAATAGTTGTCAGACTTCCATCCGACCATCGACCATCATCGAACTTTCGCCTAGCCATCGATCGTAACCAGACTTCTTTCCCCTTATATTCTTCTTGAAGTTTCATGTGAATATAGGTATGCATAAATGTTAACAACATTTCTAGCATTTCTTCTATTTCCTTTAATATCAAGAAGGTTGTTAATCTCAAGACTCGGAAATGAAGAAATTGGCAACTAGAATGGCACGATTACTTCAAATTCCAATATGAAGCTTATGATGTAATCTCTCTTAATCTTTGCAAAATATTTTTATATACTCCAATGATTTTATTTGTACATTAAAAGTTAAAAAAAAAATCTTTTTTTTTTAATTTTCGATTTAAAAATAAGAAATCGAGCTCAACAATTAAAACAAGTTCAATCTTTCTAAAGAAGCTTGAGACTAAATTTATTTTAATGAGTCAAATTTAGGCTCAGCAAATGAGCTCAAATCGAGCTCGAACTCTTTAAACAAGCTCAATTTAATTAAACAAAAACTTGACTCGACTTCACTCATTTACCCTGCTAATCCAAACCTCTGAATAATCTTTCTTCTTAATCACTCAAAGAATAAAAAATGAAAGATAATTTGGTCTATTCCCCTATATCCCAAAGATTCTCGATAATCTTCCCACAAAGCTTTTTATGGAATCAGAATACTGATTTTTATCCTTTTGACTTTAAAATTTTTTTCTAGAAAAAGTAGAAATTCAATAGCAAAAATTTGTCCCAAACTAAGCCTAAGACTTTTGTGTTTTAATTAAGAGGAAGCGAATGAACTCACACACATGTACATATCATATACGTATGATCCGAACCCAAGATCTCGTAAACTATTTTGTTGTTCTAGGTTCTATTTAGGAAGCTTTCTTTCTGCTTTTTAAAATTAGCTTTTTAGTACAAAAGTTTCTTAAATTAAATATTTTTTTGCTAGAAAGCTGCTTTAAAAAGGAGTAAGAAAGTTATCCCAAACAAAACAAGTGATCACAAAAATAATATTTGCAGTTAGAACAAATCTCATAAGTTGCTTTACTTTGAGACCTTCGCTGCAAAAATTATGTTCTATTAGATTGAGATTTTTGCATTCCGAGCAATAAGTAGTAGGACTCGAACCCAAGATCTCGTAAATTGTTTTATTGTTAGAGGTTCAATTTGGGGCAGCTTTCTTTCTGCTTTTTTTTAATTAGTTTTTTAGTACAAAAGCTTTTTGAATTAAATTTTTTTGTACTAAGGTGTTTTAAAAATGAGTAAGAAAGCTTCACAAAAATAATATTTGTAGTTAGATGTTTTATTAGATTGAAATTTTTGCATTCCCAGTAATAAGTAGTAGGGTTTCTTATGTTCTTGCATTACAAATGAATCTATTAACAAGCATCGGGAGAAGGGGTGTAAAAGAGTCAAGCCAAGTCGCTCGAGTAACTTCTAGTATGAGCTTGAACTTGATTAATTAATTGTGTTCGTAGTCGGACTTGAACTTTATTCTACGAGTTCGAACTGGCTTGTTTACTATTAAAAACAAAACATGATTTAAACAATTATTATAACAAAATTGATCAAAAATGAAAAATCAAAAGAAAAATAATAAATAATAACTTAATATAAGGAAGTAAGATATAAATGTTAAATATTTTACATTATTTTTATACTTAGAATTCTAAATGTTAATATATTAAAGTTCATATTTTTCAAACAAGTTGGCTCGCAAGCTAACAAGTCAAATCATAGCTAGCACAAACTTGTCTGGTTAGCTCATCGAGCTTGGTTCAGTGGCGATTTATCAATTCGAACCCGAGCCTACTCACAACTCAGCTTGACTCACCCCTTAATCTCGGAGTTATAGAATGGGGTTAGAAATACAGCAAGCCTTCAGCCAGCTGCCACTTTTCATTTTAAGATGCAGTCATAAACATTTCTTTTTTTTTTCCCTTTTGTAATGCAGTCATAAATTGCATTAAAGCTATGATAGAGCTAATAATGACCATGAAGAAGATTTTTCTTAGGATGGTTATATAGATTGGGCTTCGATTGGGATAGTTTTTCAGTGCTTTCTAAAATATTTTTAGTATAAAAATTTTTAGTTCATGTAAAAATTTTTGTGCTGAAAAACTATTTTAAAAACACTAAGAAAGCTATCACAAACGAAGCATTATTCAGACGATTGCAACTTTTTACAAATATGATTTTTAAGTTGCATTGGAGAACGTAATTTTTCTAAACTTGTTATAAAAATCAGCTTTCTAACACAAAAATTTTCTTTAAAATGGTGAAAAAATAATTGTAAAAAAAAAATTATGATTGCAGTCTTAACAAAACAATAAAAAAAAGTTTTTTTTTTTTTTGTGATAAAACTCTTATTCTATGCAGCTAATCAGACGAAGGTTTCGTTTGGGACGATTCTCTTACTGATTCTTAAAGTAACTTTTTAGAATAAAAAAACTTAAATTTTATACTAAATATTTACTTTAAAAAATAGTAAAAAAATCGTCCCAAATGAAGCCGATGTCAGTACTCTTTGAAGCTCTTATGGAAGAGCCTTACAATTTCTTTGACAGGTTAGGTTTCGTTATTCTGCTAAAGAGATTTGAAAGATAGAACCTTTTTTCAGAGTTAGTGAATTGTTTACCTAATCAAACACTGCTTTGAACATTAAAGTGTAGTGTTTGCTTCTGTTTACTATTCAATAATATTTTTAGATGAGGACTAGCTTGCAACTATTTCCATGATGCATTATTGCCATCATAGAAATATATATATGTATAAAGTTTGGGTCATTATAATAAATAATTTATAATTTTAGGAGAAGGTGACAGATCATGTCAAACTAATCTAATATAAAACGATTATCTTCTCAAGAGCTATTGGAGATGATAGAATGCTCTAGGATATAATGAGAATATGAATCTCTCTTAAATTGATAGCTTGAGTGGCCTTAGAAAATAAAATTATATTGTTCAATAGGGTATCCTCCTATTTATGATAGAGAAGAGCATATAATGGTCTAGGATTTACCCAAAATACTAAACACCGCTCTTCAAATATTGGGATCATTTTGATTTAGGCTTCGTTTGGGACGGCTTTCTTACTACTTCGTAAAGAAGGTTTCTAGTATAAAAATTAAAAAATTTATACTAGAAAGCTGCTTTAAGAAGCAGAAAAAAAGTCGTCCCAAACGAAGCCTTAGGCTTCATTTTAGAAAGCTTTCATATTGCTTTCTAAAACACTAGAAACTTTTGTACTAAGGCTTAGTTGGTGACTACTTTTTCCCTGATTCTTAGAGCAGCTTTCTAGTACCAAAATTATTTAACAAATAGTAAAAAAACCGCCCCAAATGAAAACTAAAAAAATTCTTTAAAAGCTGTAAGAAAACCATCTCAAACGTAATCATTGGGTAATCCTATGCTAAGACTCTTTTTAAGCAAGAGATGTATATCAATAAGTTCAACCTTGTTATCTAAATAGGAGAAAGAGGATTTTGGTAAAAGAATTAGAAGAATAGATTTATTTCTTAAATCTTTTTTTTAGGAGTATAATAGATTGTCTCCAATT